TCGCCGAAGCAGATACCGAGTGGAAAAAGTCAAAGGTGGTCAAGTTAAGACCTGGCATGAGGGTATGAAAACCCTAACCAGGTCCTGTTAGGCTCCCTGGCTGGGGACCTCGGGATGATTGCAACCGATGGTTAGAGACACTGAGCGATATGACTGGGTATCGTAAACAGTGGCGTTCGTGCATCTCGTCAATTTCTTTCCAACCTTAGANGACCACTGAACTTCTCCATTTTCTTTTCGAATCCACTTTCAACTTTCCTTTTTTCTCCTATTCTTCATCCCAATGGGCAGCCAAAAGACAGCAACCAAAACCGGCGCACGAAAGTGCATGGTTAATGGTTGTTCAAACTGAAACTGAAACATGGCCACTACGGGAACAGGATCAAAATACATTGTCTGTATTCGAACACCGCTCTCTGCGTAACATTGCACGAGTCGGGTGAGGAAACGAGCAATGCTGATGTTAGGCGTAGAGTTTTAGGCAGTCGCGGTCGTCCACTGGAGTAATTGGTCGACCTCCATAGATCACGCTGGTTGGGGCATGTTTTACGCATGTCATCAAATAGGTTACCACGGGAAGCGATGTTTACGAGGCAGACAGCGGTTGGTCAAACATAAACCTGGTATGAGGGTGTGAAAACCCTAACCAGGAGACTAGGTCACATAGGCCCCGTTAGGCCCTCTGGCTGGGGACCCGAAGATGATGTTCATCGAGGGTTAGAGACATCGAGCGATATGTCTGGTATCGCAAACAGTGGCGCTCGTGCATCCACTCATTATTCCTCTAACACCACTCTATAAGAATTCTCCATCTTCCGCTTGAATTTGCTCTGTACATTCCAATCTTCATTCTGCTTTTTTATCCAAATGGGACTCTAAAAGACAGCAACCAAAACCGGAGCACGAAAGTGCATGGTTGTAAAAACTGAACTGAACTGATGGCTCTCACTTGATTTTGATTATATGACAGTGATTATAGTTCAATGAAGGCAGGAGTACTTTGATCCTTCTCCAGGTTTGCCCACTGGAATCGAACTCCAAACTTGCGAGACCAGAAGACATTGGATATTGTCTGATCTCTTTCCTTCAGCTTTAGAACAGTCACTATGGTGCCTGAGACGGTTTTTCGCGAATTCATATGGTAATTGATGTAAAAAGTTACCTGAGCAAACAGTTCAGAACGAACTAATTGTGATATGTTAGCTGGGCTGCTATTTTGAATACAAAGTTACTTTTGGTCAGTATTCCTAGACGCTTTATGCTTCATGTCTGTGTGTGTGTGTGTTTAGTCGGTTGCCGGACTCTACTGTTTCCAGTTCGTAAATCAATAACTCCACTGAGGCCGATACGTGAATGAACNTGTTTGTTGTTTATGTGCACTATATGTCGTTTTAGATGCTGGATCAAAAACATGGAACCGTAGAGTATGAAGTGTGTGGCATACATTTGGCGGACGGATGGAGGAGGGAGCAATGAACTATGTGGAGTGCACAGTCACATGCAGAATACAGACCGATACGTTAATGTGGTCAGAAGCACTTTTTTGCAGAGGCGCACAGCGTTTTCTAGTTTGCAAATTTCGCATCTATCCTAAACATATTGTGCATCGAAAGAAATCAATCCCGGGACCTGCAAGCATTTCCTGTAAGCACCGGTCATTACTCTGCAGTGTGGAGAGCTTCACCAATCACTTCAAATCTGACATAAAGCATCGTGGTAATAAACCAGTCGTAAAACGGAACCATTTTATTGATCACTGAAAAAATGTGTGCGTTCATTAAAATCACTATTGATGCGTAGTGATGCAATCAGCTTGTTGAATTATCCATCCGTCATTTGTCTGTTTTAAATAGTCCACTGATACAAGGAACCACTGACTCATAACTATCTTATCAACAGGGCAATGTAATTAACAAACATCATGGTTGTTGTAATTGACTCACACGTCCACGAGTGCAGCGTTGTTCATACTTGATTTCAACGTAACCGCTCATACAATTCAACAACTGATCCGCACAAGCCATTCATTTTCACTCAGTTTTGTTCCTGCGTCGTTTTTTGGCCTGGGTCGAACAAGTTTGGTAATTCTTTGGTCGAGCCAGAGATAACTGCCTCCTCCGTTGTTTCTCTCCTCCACCACTCCACGCTTATAAATTGTAGGTCTCACGGAATGCGCGAAGAAAAATCGTTTTGAAATGTATCGAGGACTATGGCTCGATCGATGCAATGGTAGAACTGACCATGCAGTTAGTCGAGGCTGTGTCACAACAGCCGGTTCCAAATGACTCGTCTCACACGGCCCTATATCGCTGGCGTGATTTCATAGATAAACTGAAAGTAATTGCCGGTCTGAAACGCGGTGTGGTTTTACTGTATCAATTCACCGAACCAAATACTATACTCCTGACCTACGCAAATCCCATGTGAGTTTTCTAGAAATTTCTAATTTGTGTTGTGCGTTTGACCGATTGCTTTTGGTCAGCAAATGTCCTAACGCTTGATGATCATAACCAACAGTGGTCCCCTTTACCACATTCTTGGAACTACGAGCTCTGATAATTTGTCTTCGTAGGTTTGATATGTACCGTAACGAATGGATAGTGGCAAGCATGCAGGTTCACATGCACAGATTTGAGGAATTTCCGTTTTACTCCATCACTTGTGCTTTTCAACAATGTCTATCGTAATTCTCTTAGCCAACTGCTGATATCCCGGAGGCAGTAAACAAGAAACATATCGATAAGTTGTTCTTGGTTTTGTACACACTGTCCAAAACCTTTGCCTTTATTACGGTTAATCAGGTTGCAGCTGTTGTGCTCACCTTTGTTCACGGTGCCTATCTTTCCGTTTGTCGTACATAGTCGTTCAAACTGCTATGCTCTCAATTTTGAAACATGCTTCCTCATCCATCGTGTCGGCACTCCAACCGTTATCACGTTTCCGAAGTTTTCGACCTCGCCTTACGATCTCATTGAAAGAATCACGTTGTAATTGTCCTAGGCTTGTATTAACCCGCTATCTGATTATTAATAGTTCAACGTTATCGCACTCAATTTGCACACGATCGAACCTCGCTGAGAAAACTGTTGGGGTTTTTATTCTTTTTCGGTGCAAAATGTATTGAAAAGTTATAGACAGTAGCTAAGAAAAGCCAAAACGCAAGGCAACTGGCCTCGACAACCATTTTGTTTTGCTCTGAGTCAGTAGGCAGTGGTCGAGTGGTAAAGTCGTCGAAATAACTACCCGGGTGGTCTTGAATTCAAACCCTGCCACCGCCGCCCATCTTCCCATTATTCGTATTTCTCCAGGCAGCCTGTGTATGGCTGCGTTCTCCTTCCTGAGAGTTTATTGTAACGTTATATAATCGATAAAAAAATTAAGTAGACACATTTGTTTATTTATTATTATTTATGCTCGAATTCCACCGCGATCCATTTTTCACACTTCTGTATGTCCCGAACCAGCTTTGATCGGCCGCAGTCTCCACTTTGAAAATTGGCTATGCGTTTGTATATTACAACGAGTAGGAGGAAGTTAAAAGTCACTTCACTGGTTATGTAGTGGTCATAGCGTCCTTAGTTTCAGGATATTTAGTTTTGCTACTAATCCTCTTTAGGCGTTTTTCTTTGTTTATTTCAGTGCAGCACTTTGTCATCGATAGTCCGTTTCCGCGCTGAATGATTGACCGGATTTTCAAGGTGTTGTTGAATTTGTATTCAATCAGAATTGTGCATCCGGTGTCATGTAGCTCGAAAACTAAGTAATTATCAATTCGTTTTTATTAGGCATGATGATGAACGATGTGATGCACACAGAAATCCAAAATTTCGTCGCTTCCTTGGACTTAAACTTGCCCCTGTGTGGGATGTATACATATCACAAACTTGATTCATCTCTGTCGTCTAAGTGGTATTCACTTTCTCCCGTTTCATGATGCGTGCTTGTTTGCTTGCTCTGGTTCTTTTACTGTATTTGGACCTCCCATCTGGTTGGCTATCAAAAAATAGCATAAAATTGAATTAAATACTGAGGGTAGTAGGGATAAAGAAAAGGGTGTCATTTGATGCGTTAATTAACCAGAGTTAGTAGGTCACTCCGAAAAGCCTTTGAATCACTAGTGATTCCACCGTCACTACTGGAACCCGATAGCTGTGTGAGTAAAACCTTTGATGCAGGTTTCATCATGAAAGTTAGAGATAATGTTAAATAATCATGGTTACCTACAGAGTTACGTCATCGTCCGTTTCCAGCGAATTACAGTAACACGAAGTTCGCAAAAGGCTATCTAGCTCGCGTTGCGCACAAAATAGGTATCAGTGTGTGACCGGGTTAAGGACTGAATCCGTTGAGGGAGGGAAAAGAACGTGAAGCTCTATAGTCAACGCGCAGATTAAATAGTCTCACTTGACAGATCAGTCTTTTCAAGTATTCGGAACTGATAAGAAAAAGCAACGAGGACGCCGCTGCGTTCGGTTCATTTTCGTGCGCCCCTGAGCATCCAACCAACCAGACAAAGTCTTTCGTGCATCAACTTGGAAGACGAAATACGCCTACTCCACCCAATAGCGCGTTGTTTTTCTCTGTGCCTCTTATTCACGTCATCTTTTGACCTTTACTTGATTTCTTTTATCCTGGTCTTTTGTCAGTTCACTCATATACTTGTACAATAACCTTGTTTGCAACACCGGATAACCATTGGATAGACAGCTGTTTCAGAGCCAGTCCAATGAAGAATTAATGCTATGACCCGATGTTTTGTAAGTTGGTTAAGTTGGTTGTTCAGACCAAAGCAAGTGAATTTTCTTAGCGAATTCGCAACCGGAGCCTTCGGTTAGCCAAAGCCTGACCCGTGAGGCAGCAGGGCGGTGTGTGAAAACCGTTTCCATTGGGGGCCGGTGCGTACTTCATCGGATCGCACGCATTTTGGACAGGGTCAAACGTCCAAGGTGCCCAATACACCTCGATCCCCAATCAAGCCGGTGAATACTGCCACAACCAGGAAGTTGTGTGTGGTTACTACGGCTCCTCATAGTTGGTTTGGAATCAGGGTTTATGGCCAACTCCCCTAGGTGAACTACCAGTGGTCCACCAGTTATAGCCCCGGATGTCGGCTTTTCGTCCTCTCACTTCTTTGGGAAAACAACTCTGCCACGAGAGTGCAGTCAGTGGGGCTTCCTCAGCACAGGTTTTTTGAAACGCTTGGTCGTATGGGAGCATTTTGTGAGATGCAGGGGCACAGTGACCAGCCACAACCCTAGACACCCACCCCCGACCGTACTGAGGCTTTTGGAGGCTACGCAAACACTAATGATCGAAAACCCCTAGAGGACGGATTTGTTCTCCACCTCAACCGCTGGGTCTCGTGCCCGTTAAGCGGAGCTGATGTGAAACGTGCCACGCAACGTTTCAACTTCATAAAACATCGCCGCTACGCAACATTTATTTTATCCTTCGTCACTCCAAACAAGCCTTGCATAAGTGTATAGTCATCCTCTTTACTGCGTTACCGTTATTCGTTACGTAACTGCGTAAGCTGGAGAAGCTAGTTCCTAAAGTCAAACCTGTCCATCTAGTTTCAAAGTTGGGGTAGGGGCATACAGCATCAATTTGGACTTCGAAAATAGAAAGTGAATACTGAAATAACAGCAAAACGTGATAGTCTTCCAATTGCGTTTTCCCTATCTTCTATACATTCAAATAGACTGACACACGTGGTCCGTCTGTTCTTCGCAATCGCAACAATCAGTGGATTGGAAGTGATAAACACGAATAGTATAGTAATACGAATGGGCTCTATACTGCATCATTACAATTAACATAACAGATATTTTGGTATGAATCTCTTCTCCACGATATTAGTCAATTTCACTGTGTAATGCAGTACGGAGTCTGTCCGTATTGCTGTAGTGTTTGTGTGTGTATCACCTGCACTACTAGTTGTTGGCATTCACAGTGTAGATCATGCACGCGTGACCTACCAAACAGACCCGTGCACACCACACGGCATCCTCTTTTTTCATCTGCTGAAAAATAATCAGTTACTGGACGACACTCGCCTCGAGGTTCTAACAGGGACTTGACGACTGCTTTGTGCTACTTATTCTCCATGAGTTATTTATGTGGAATTGTGAAAAAAACTAGTTCTCAGTCTAATCCAAAATACCTAGCATAAATTCACATCTAATCAACGCTTTCCACTGTCCTTGTTTGGGGCAGAATACACTAGGACAAAGTTTCAGGCATTGAGTCAAAAAATCATGGGACCGAAACCTAGTCCAAGTGCTAATTCACTGTAGACTTATGTCGTATAATATCACCGCCGCTAAGTCGAATTCAAGTTCCATCCTGCACCCTCAAATAAATGCTCACATACCAAGGCTTTCGTTCCCACCATCTTATCCAGCAATTTTTTCTTTGTTTTGAACATTGCTGTTTAACTGGGAAAACAACTTTTTTCGGTGTCTTCCAGTCCACTGGATTTTGCTTTCCTGCCTTACGATCGGATTTCGCTACAGGACAACAACCACTAACCTTTTCATTTAGATGCTAAGTTTATTGAAAAATATGTAACTCTTGGATCGTACCAAGTGCTTTGTCTGGTCATCCAAAATGTAACATTGGAACGAATACTATCTGTAGGGGCAGTATTTGCGATCTGCTAATATTCCATGGAGCAGCTCATCAAAATATGATGTAATCCAGCGAACACATGACTGCTATGTTCCGGCTACTAGTGAACACAATTGTCATCTTGTGATAGCTCAACTAGCTGGCTAACTATGGAAACAAATTAAGGTTTTCCATTTTTTTTCTGGTCCCGGAGCATTGAGAAAGTCGATATATGGTTTGAACGGTGAATGTTTGGATTGGCCCATTTAGTTTTTCACAGACAACTGGTGATCTTGGGTGTGGGTTTGGTAATTCCCCACTAGTCGAATGTATTTATATGCGATGGAAATGTTTGTGATAACCGACAAAGAGCACTGTTTCGTCCTGTCAGCAGCGCGTACTGTTGTTCCCCCTTCAGGACTCGAATTGCTAACATTCGGGTTGGGACCTCAAACCCCTACCCCTGAGCTACACAAATGAATTAAGGATCTTCCAAGGAGTGAGACCCACACGCGAGCCCATCAACAGTGCCTGATATCTGTGAAAAACCGAATGGGCTAATCCAAACATTCACCGTCTAAATTGATTGAACCATTCGCACAAGGTCTATGGTTCTTCACACTTGACACAAGCTCTAGACAATTTTTGGGTAACATCACTGTAAAACTACTAAAAGGATGGCAATGCCCATATATGGTTTTGTTCTCAAAACATTCTAACCTATTTAATGTGCGTAGACAGCTGATTGAGAGCACGCCAAATTGATGGCCAATATCAATTCTGCTCATATTGTGTTACTTGTCTTATTCAAATTTGTCACAGGAAGAAATTTTCTGATTTTTTATTCTAGTTGAAGATGTTTCGTTTGTGTTAGCAATAATAATACTAATGTTTTGTCTGTCTGATTACAAATACACATCTACACTCACTGTTAGACAAGCTTCAGCTGCGGCCACATTCATGAATGGCTACGTCACCCCGTGGTCCTCACCGGTCGGTTCGAGCAACATCGAAGGCGGTTATGAAATCCACTTCAGCGCCCGATTATATTCCCCTTACAACAACAGCAGGACGAACACAGTTTCAGATGATTCGATGACAGAACTGGAAAAAACCGGGCGCTCTATGTGGTACGAAACGATGCAACGATTGGTGGAGATTGCCGAACGAGATGATGCAGCCGCTCACGGACCAGCGATCACCGCGGATGTGTTTGAACCGCTGCGCTCAGATCGAACAGATGTCGTCAATCACGATGATGTGGTCACTTTTATGGATTTGGAACATAGACCCATGGGGATAGAGATACTGGACGATGTGGAATCTTCAGAGGAAGAAAACGCGCCTCGTAAGTGTTAGGGGTCAATGAGAATATATTTAGATTCGTCGTGTACAAGTGACATTTTTTATTACGCACACTTGTGTGATAAACAGCAGGCGAGGAAAGCCCATAGTCACAAAGACTTAATGTTCAGTGATAGAAACCGGTAACCTAAGCCCCGAGACTTGGAGTGGTGGAGCACATGAGGCCCAACTAGATTATGCGTGTTGTTGAACCGAACGACAGTAAAGCCGCCTACCACCAAAGTTGCGTGGCGGTGGCCGGGATCGGATCACAGGTTTCAAAGCACACCGGTGACAGCGACTAAACCACTGTGCTCCCCCCTACCATTCTTTGGAAACATAAACACGCTGTAGTGTTCAAAAGCTTGGCTATCATGTGATGCGATAAGAAATCCACAAGCGGTCGAAATCCATCTATTCGTTCGTATCATACGCGTATTCTTTAGGCTATCTCAATCACACACACGTTTTTCTCTTCTATTGGATTGGCCTCTTTCGATATGTATGTACCATACATACTCTGTGGCGTATTGTTTTTTTCGGGGGGGGGGGGAGCTTACTTTATTCATTGTCTTG